ATGTATACCGTAGCTCGAGTGTAAAACTGGCCACCCAGTAACGAACTTCAGAATGGGTGGAGCTTTACCTCTGCGCCCCCATTTCGCCTTAATGGCGTGCTATTTAAGACATAGGTGGAAATTTACGGTAATGGATCGGTCGGCAGAGCCTCGTTTGCAGAAACAGTGTACCAAGGTAAGGTTTTATGTTGCAGGTAGGACGAGCTGCGCGCGGCGGTGGGTGGAGCGATGAGGCTGAGCCTCGTGTTCTGCATCGCCGCCATGTTGGCCAGCCACTCAGGTAGGAATGTGGGGCACTGCACCGTTACGACCTCGCGTGCCTGTTAACCCTGCACAGTGGAGGTCTGGGGTTCCAGAATCGTTTATACTAATAAGGCCACACATTTTATTAACCAACGAGACAATGGGTACCTTAATCGAGGAAGAACATTGGCATAAGTGTTTAAAAACGAAGTTCCCAGAGAAATACCTTGCCTGGTGTTAAGTGGGCAATTTAGGATGTTGCATATCGAGGAACTTCGTGATTTGGGCTCTACAGATTACCCTGAACTGTTGGGGTAGTGAAACGAAGGTTACGAAAGTAGGACAGGTAAGTAAAACTCTAAAGGGTCGTAACGATGGTTTGTTACATTTAGGGTTGATCATCTTCTGGACTTGTTCCATCGTTAATATTCAAATATTCTACCTACTCCCAAGGAACGAGATCAGCCCCTTCTATCGTACCCAACACAGCAAGTATTTTCACCTGAAGACGGGAGCAAAACCATCTCCCGAAACGTATTGGTCGCATTTCATAACATCAAACGATGAAACAAGTCCAGAAGAACAGCAGCACTTAAAAGCGTTACTTCTTGTAACCACTCATTTTCACGTGCCTTTTTAAAATGATAAAAAGTTATGAAAATATCTATTAAAATAACAACTGTCTCACGCAAAAGTCGTTCATATATTGAGAAACTCTGGACCAAGCATTACTTCTGTCGCCTTAACCGTGCGACTCGTCTCTGGTCAAGGGCGACAACGTGAGTGCCCTGCGGCTACGGCACCCACTGAACGAAATAAGGGGTGAATATGACTGCCTTCTGACACTGTGCCGTGTTGCACCTGCTGCTACCATCATCAGGGTGATTATGGAGGCAGTAAGCACCTCTGAAACATCAGAGCAACATCCCAGAAGTCAGTACTCTTTATACTCGCCGCCGTGAGAACTCGAATCACCGATTACAGGGGGTGTTGAGTACCGCCGAACTTCCTTTGCCCTTCAGAATCCCAGAATTCTCACTTTACTTTATTTGCACGAGAGTTTGGTGAAATTACGCCACTAACACCAGACTGTGTGCCACTGCCATTATTTAAAGATTCTTTGGTGCCAGTTACTTCACGGTCACCGACAAATCAACTACTTCAGCACTATTCATATTCTTCACTGACTTAGCCACGTTAAATGCCAGCATTCAACCGAGCGTTCGACTTATAATGGACAAAATCAAAAGAAATTTTCGAAGAATTAACTGTCCAATAATTCGACTGTTACAAACTATAGAAACCGAATTAACTCTTTTCCTCCGCATCCGAATGATTCTATTTCTTCTGTTCATCTAGAAGACAGTATCAGAAAGAGCCCACAACCTTCCATAGTTCTGGCGCTCCAAATGCGGGGGAAAGGTGATGGACGAAAGTCACAGATTGCCTTCCCGAATTCTTAGAAGTGACGTGTACAGAGATTTTCAGAATCAATTCCGGATTGACATAAGCTAAATAAGTTGCCGCTTAAGGCCTCAAAAATATATGGTTAAATCTGCTGTTTCGAAGAATAAAATAATACAGAAATTACACGACTTAAAAGTAATAATGTTAGTTATTGCTGGTTAAATAATTAGCTTTTCAGTGCATCTTCGTCAAGGATCATACCATGTTTACTGCTGTATGTTTCTACTCACACCGTCTTACAGATTTAAATTCTTTCAGTTATTATGCATGGCACTTATGAAGCTTAAGATAGCTTATGTGCCCAACAAGCATAAGTATGTTTCATTTTGAAACATTCCAACTGATTTGTTGGTTACGACATACATTGTACACTCGGCTGTGTTATCTAACGACGTGCTACCTTCTTGTTACGTGTTATTATTCTGATTAAAGCTGAAGGCGGTTTAAAAATAACTCAAAATTAGATCTCGTAACACTTACCACTGTACTACAATAAATGTATACCGTGTTTTATTTATATATTTTTATGATTATCATCACCCACAAATAAACGAACCAACATCGAGGTCCAGTGTTAGTACTCTTGCCTCGTATTCGGCAGGTCCTGGGTTCAAATCTCAGGTCTTAGATAGGCTAGGCTAAGGATTTTCGTAACTTTCCCCAGTCCCTTCAGCAAAACGACGGTATAGTGCCATAAAATAAGGCCACAGCCGCTTGCCTCCACATCCTTTAGAATTTATTATTCATTAATCATATCATTCGACGCTATATAGGTAGTCTGAACTGATAACAGGGTCGTTAAATAAACCACTGATATATAAAATAAGATCTGTGGGCATTAACAATTTGTGCCACATTAAAGTAGGCTTCGTGAGTTCTACCCGGAACGCTTTGTTTCTGACAAACTGACACGACGGGCGCCCACCGGAATCGTGGGTCGCTGCCTGATGACATTGGTAGCAGCATTCCTAGTGTTTGAGTCATCACTACTAAGACGTAATCGGGACATTTCTGAGAAGCGCCTGGGGTGTAGGTCAAGAGGTCAGCTGATACAGCCTAACCTCAACTGGAGCACCCGGTCCACAACTCAGCAACCTACTTCCGCAAGATACATATTAATTTTATCCTACGATCTTCTCTGTCCTCCAGGATGTATTTGTATATACATTTCTATTTGCGAACGGTTAGAATCCATAGTTTGATGATCCTGGGTTCGAATCTCGTCACCAAGTCCAACAATCTTGACCGATTTTCCTCGGTCTGTCCATGTACATTCCGGTAGCCGCGTCCTTCCACGGCCACTGAACAGGCTGCAGCACCAGTGACGCTTTAAGGCTTGCATTTTGGAAGCAGCAGATTATAATTTCAATAATGTGCAGCCCACCTATTACAGGTTTTCCTCAGTATCTCCGGGATAGTATCTTTATACAGCAAATAATCGTACTTCTTTCAAGCCATTACCTACTCACAATTCATGACCATCTTCCTGCCTCATACATCACTAAAAGTCACAACATTTGATACAGCAGCATTAAATAACCTAAGATTAAGTCTAAGGTCTTCCCGGTTAATTTGATACTGTGAACTTAATAGGCTTTGTACTACGATCCCAATTTATCTTGATGACAAATAAGTATAAGCGTTTCTGCAGTTTTATAAAGACAATTCGATTTGATGGTATCATATTATACCGATATGAACAAACATCGCATTCATCGGAAAACAATTAATGTAGACCCTCCAATAAAGAACTGTATCAAAACTCACAGACTATTTCAGATATAAAGCATGCAGTTAGACAGATGCTACACCCCATTATGCGTTCATTTAGTAACTCTGTAGAAAAAACACAGAAATGGTCAGAATTAATGGAATTTCCCCTGAAGACAAACTCGTCATACATTGTGAAACAGCCATACGGAGTGACATGGTGCAAGGCCTTTCATGACTTATTTCTTTAAGTTCCATCTTAATACTCTCCTCCCATCTGGGTGTAAACGCACCAAATGGTGTGTCCCTTGATGTTCTCAGTCACGTTTCTTAAATCCAGATATTCTGCTCAGTGCCGTGTTTCAAAATGAGCTGTCAAAGTACCGTACGACTGTGCTTGTATAACACATGGCCGTTTTATAATCAGAAGGCCACGTGCAAATCCAAACGGCATTTATCTTTGGGCTCATGAAGCACAAAGTTCTCGTTCCGGTCTCTTGGCTCTTGAGGTAAACGCCCTAGACACCTCGTGGATTCCAGAGCTGCTCTGGACGCCCACGGTTCAAAACAAATTTATCGGGAATCGAATCCTGATCTTGTCGCGTACATGCATCTAGTAAAGTGTCTGCCCATCTCACATCAGGATTCGAATTTACAACCTTGCGAACTAAACAGTTTCTTCTTCATGATCATGTCAAGGTCATCCAGTATCCTCAGGCTGTACTGACCTCGGCGTGTGCTTCAACCTAGTGGCTTGTGTGCCATGTTTACATCCGTCATCTTCCCTCCCTTGAAGCATCTTTCCTCCTCATTTTTTTCCTTGAGTATACTTCTATTTATTTCTCTCATCTCACTATAATTACGTCCCTCAACAATACTTTTCATGTAAGCTGAAAGTGTGGGTCTGTGTTTGTTGGCTTATAGCTCGAGAACGGATAATCCAATTTTTACCAAACTTAACATTATTATTTTCTGATCCCAGGAGTAGTTCATATCAGAGCAAAAACTCTGTGAAAATGTCCCGAGTTCCATTTCCACTGGGCGCGTTTCCCGTCGAGGGAATTACAGGATCTAATGCCACTAACCCGAAAACACCCCTGTCGTCGAGTCCCGCTGAAGATTTTGGGTTATGGATAACTGTTGACCCTACAAGATTCAACGCTGAAAACACACGCCGAAGGTGCAAGCGCCTGCTGTGGCGACGCCGACAAAAGATTCCACATATTTACGATACATGAGCCTTGAGATGTCCAAAGACACGACATTATGAATCGACACTGGGGTTCGCGACACCAACTCCGAAACGCAAATAAATCCAATTGAAGCCTCGAATGTGCAACGATTGTTACAAACCGACGCAGATGCGAGAAGGGACGTGAATGAGAGCGAAGTAGGAAAGCCGACTCCGTGTGTAGCAATGCCTATTATCGCGACGCCTTCAAGAGGCGGAACATTTACTGCAGGTGAGCTTCCGGAAACCACTGGAAGCGACGCTAGAAAACATATGCCGAGTGACGCCAATATTCACGACGTCACTACAAATATTAGTATTTGGGAAATATAAACACCGGCATGTAATTGAACGCGACTTAGGAAAACTGACGCTAAGAGTCGCACCTCTTATCATCGCGACGTCTCCAAAATGAGGCACAGTTACCGCGGGTGAGCTTCAGGACATTAGGCACGCCACTGAAAAAATTACAAGCGTCGCGACACAAATTGTCGCCGCCAAAACACGCAATACGAAATTTCGGGTTCAACAGAAGGCGGGAAATTTTTAGACTAGCTGAGCGACTATTAGATTCTCAAAAATTAAGTTCCACGGTGTTAGCTGCCATTACAGAATTCTTTGTATTGTGTGAAAATTAATTACAAAGGGTTTATACCGCGAGGTGAATTTGAGTTCTGGCATTAAGCTATTTGAAACAGGCATTTCTTATTTCTAGTGTATGTACCAAATCCAAAATTCGGTTGTACTGACTGCAGTTCTGTTGTGTGTTGCAGAAGGGGAGATGCCACGCTTTATGCTTGCTTCGTTGCTAGGGTACCCGACTACATGTGTGCACAACAATGCACTGCACAGCTGTACATACACCTTCACCTGTTGGATAGTTGGCGGACAGCTCACCAAGGGTATGATGAACAGTCATGCATGAGTGCTAACTTTTCAAAATATGGCGGTGTGCTCAGCTTTGCGTTATAAATTATCCCACATAAAACTTTCAACACCACGTTTTCTTTCTAATAATTTAAATTCTACTGGAGTAACCCTTTTTAAAAATAAAACCCCTAATTTCAAAATTATTTAAGGAATAAAACACAGCTGTTTTTTCTGTCCTTGTTCCCTTCATTTTGTCAGATGATAAACCCAATGTCCATATGCTGTAATGCCTGACATTCCCAATATTTCTGTACAGGCTGCAGCGAAGGGGGTGGAGGAGGGCTGGACTTAATGGCAGACCTCCTGTTCACATGCTGTGTGCCCATGACATCAACTGCTGCTGCAGTAAGTCAGGTTCTGCCAATCCGCAGAGAGGATATCGATCACAGAAACAACGAGATCCTGGGTGCCTCCAGAACAGGTAATGTTTACCTCATAAAACACACGTAATATTTTGAATCTATTAGCTAAGCAGCGAAGTCTTCCATGATAATGTTTAATAAACTCGACTAATAATCAAATGGTAGTAGAACTCGAAGTCTTCCATGATAATGTTTAATAATCAAATGGTAGTAGAACCTGAAGTTACAAGTCATATTCTCATCTCATTTTCAGTATTCCATGTGTCCATTTACAAACATCAACATGAAATATCAGCCTAGTAATCAAAAGGTCCCAAGTTCAATCCCAACTGATTCCACCAATAATGAAAGTAAAAAATGTAATAATACCATAATGACAACAAGTCACCTAAAGAAGGGAGTATACCAATTGTCAACATCAAACAAAACAAGGGAAAACAGACAGTGTTCAACGAAATATTTGTACTATAACAGATCAGTCGATGTTACAAACATTTAGAATATCACTTCTTATCCCAGACCAGACCATTATAGTCTCCTACATTTCACTATTCCACCAATACTCAGTTACATGGGTTTTATGAAGTTCCTCATTATTTGAGGTCTTAAATGTCCCACTTACTTTTTTTAAATCTGCTTATTTTCGTGAACAAACTTTTTTCAAACACTTTAACATTTGATTGTCTTCTGTATTGAGCACAAGGCCACTATTCACAAGCAAATAAAACAGCTAGCAAAATTCACTTATTTCCATATCACCCCCATTTCTTTATTCACTATCGCCCTCATATTTAGTATTATATAACCTTCATAGTTGATGAAGAGTTATTAAATAAACTAAGAAACAAACATAAGAAAAACTGACTAAAAGCAACACACATTTAGCATCATCAAATTTGCTGTGTAGAGTGTGGAGTGCCAAGGATTACCCTGCAGAAGAGGATCATTGGTGGAAACGAAGCGTACTTTGGGGAGTTTCCGTGGCAAGCACACATCCGCATTGCAGGGTACCAGTGTGGGGGTGTGCTGGTCAGCAGGTGGTATGTGGCCACTGCAGCACATTGTATTCACAGGTAAACCGTATCATTCTGTAATAATGATGCTTTATCAGCATGATAAATGAATTTGTTGTGTCTTACTACCAACATTGTCATAATTAATCAACCTCCCCCCCCCCTCAAATTATTTGCTGTTGCTAAGGCATATTACCAAATGCTATTAATTTGTAATATGCAAACTTATGAGGTCAAAACAATACTTGCTTTTTAATAAAATATTTTTTGAAAAAAGTGCAAAATAGAAACATGACAACCTCAAGAAATATTCTGGCCTGATGATAATAATGAAAAATTGCAACAATACATATAAAATCTGTTTCATGACATACTCTAAACATATAAACCACTAATGTGATAAACCACTGTTACATTAAAAAGCATCTCACTAACAGTGAGTTCTTTCAAAACTTGATCTTTCTTGTTTCAGAGCACGTCTAAAGGATATAACAGTGTATCTAGGGGAGTACGACACACAGAACACGGGTCATTACATGGAACCACTGCCAGAAGAGATCCTGAGGGTTGTACACAAAATAATCCACCCAAACTTTCAGTACAGAATCACACAGCCCGACAGATTCGACCTGGCACTACTCAGATTATCTCGACCAGTCAGCTACCGCGAAAACATCCTGCCCATCTGCCTTCCACGACATGATGCGTCATTCTGGGGGCAGGTGGGTGTGGTAGCAGGCTGGGGCAAGACAGACACCACTTATGGTTTGTATAAGATTCAATCATTAAATTAACATTATTAGCACAGAACAGAATATGTTGTATTCCATTCAATTACAGTCATTTCTTATTTTACCAGACCTTAATATATTCTAAAGTAAAGCTGAAAAGCAATGATTAAAAGTAGGACTATCTCTTTTTAAGATAATTCTAACATAAAATGTTTCAGACAACTGTTTGTAAGAGTTTGTGGAATCGGCTGATTATTGCTGAAGATTAACCTTTACTGAACAGGAATGGGAAATTTAAATTCCCTTATTATAGGGTTGCTGGCCACACTTCAGCTCCAGGGTTAACAGTTTAGGGGAATGCTAGTGCACTGCACCACCAGCTGGATCATAAATAAGCTGTATCACGCAGATGATAAAGGTTAATATTTGTTTGATAGGTAAGACAGGGACCAACATACTGCAAAAGGCAACGGTGCCTATTCTGAGCGATGCAGAGTGTCTGCAGTGGCATGACCACAAAAATATCAACTTGGAGTTGCACTCTGAGATGTTTTGTGCTGGCCACAGTGATGGTCATATGGATGCCTGTCTGGTAAGTGCACCAGTACTTGTTTAACACTCTCATGCTGTGATTTGTTTGTCAGTAACCCATATGTTTGCTGAAAAGCTTATGGGAGACACAGAAGGATGGATATTGGAATGCTGATGAATGCTCAAATATGGAATTTCCTATAGTCCCTTAACTATCTGGCTGACCCCACTGAACAGATTAGAAGTACTGGATGAGACTTGTGGTCAGGAGGTATCCAGTTTGAATATCAGTTGGAGCATAAGCTATTCTGATGCATTGTTGAGAGTTCAGATTGTGGACTTCTTAACTTTTTGGGTTGTAATACCATTTAGTCTTGATTGTAAGTACCAGTATTATTAAAGGACGTGCCACCATTAATTTTCCTAGTTACTGTCAGTTCTTCTATGTAAATTGTATTATATGTATGTGTAAAACATAACTGACCAAGTTCTCAGTAATGGAACTCACTATATGACAAAATATTCAATTTTCTAAGTACTGCTATCATCAGGCAGCCTTCAGAATTAATCCTAAAGGAGATAAAGGTATGAAAGTGATGAAAGAATGGAAAAACAGGGGCTAATGATGAAAGTATGAAAAAAAATTCATTTCAAATGTATCTTCAATTAGTTAATTACATTAGGCTGTGATGACTTCCTTCCTGCATGCTTCCCATCACTGATGATCATCCTCACAACACACTCGACTCTACTGCAGTAGACAGAGTGCAACAATTTTTCCTCTGAGTGTTCTAATTATGTAATGATCAAATAAATATTCAGTTATGAAACCCACGGATTCATCATCAACCAGACAAAAGCACACTGTAAAAAAAGTAACTAGAAGAACACTCACTACTTTCAGGGGGATTCTGGTGGACCATTAATTGTGCAGCAAGATGGCAGGTGGGTGCTGGCTGGTATCACAAGTGCTGGGTTTGGATGTGCAGTGGATCACCAGCCAGGGATCTATCATAAGGTGGCAGACACGGCTGGATGGATTGCAGCACATATCAACGTGTGACTACCTCAGGCCAGCGAGAGGAAACACTGCAATGACAGCACTCAGGGCATATTCTGGAAATGAACCCAAAGATTCAGAAACTGTTTAAAGAAATTTAAATGTTACAATTTTTTAACTGGAAATCATGTTTCAACCTTGTTTCCCATACATATGGGACATACCATACAAAATGCAACCCAACAAAATTACATAGTGCAGTAAAAAAAGTAAATCTGTCCAGCTACACGCCATGTAGGCGCTTGGGAGGAGAGGTGGTATAGTTCCTACTCCAGCGAAAAATTTATTTTAGAAGGTATACCCATGTAATAGATTCTCCCAACCTCTCCTGTGACATTCAAGTTAAGGTCATCCTGGTTTCTAGGCTGCTGCTCATGACAGCTGCACAAAAGCTGTGCAGACGTAAACACACTGTATTCAAAAAAACTTCTTTCTGTGGAGATTACTCAAAAAAAAAGGTTCATTCAAATAAACGAAACACTTGGAGAAACTGAAAAACAATTTTAACTAGACTGTTGCCAACACTGACCCATACACACTATGCAAAGTCACATGAAACACTAAAAAGGATGAATGTGTGTCTTCAGGAAGGTGGTGGACATTTTCAGCATCTACTGTAAAGCTGTTCTGTAAGTTTTTTCTAAAAAATATGAACTACAAAACAACTCATTTGTCTTGTTCTATTAATAGCACCAAAATTTGCACACACTGTTGTAATTAAGGTTGCATTTTAAATGGAAAACATGTTTTAAAGCAAACTTAAGTTTGATCAATATTTAGAGTTTTAGTTATCACTATTCCCGAAAACCATTTATAAACATAGTTGGTTTACAATGTTTAGTGTTCACTAACAAAACTTAAAAGTGGGAGGCTGTGAAAGGATAGAAATGTAGATAATCTGAAGGAGATATGAAATTCATAAAGAAATTTATCTGGGAAATATGATATAAAATGGCCACTTAGAAGACTAAAAAGGTGAGGGGACAATACTATGATGAATATTAGAGAATAATCTCCTAAAGAAATTATTCAGCAGTGTTCAAAACAAGAAAAAATCTTGATATAGGTACTGACTTCAGTGGACATCTTGTATTACATATCGCTACATCTACATATAACACGTAATTGTTATATTAACCCTTATTGTTCAGGAAAAGGCAATTTAAACTCCCATCCTACAGGCTTGCCAATGAGATTTAACTATGTGGTTAATGTTTTAACACTATGCTAATGTAAGAAGTGACACAAGGATTATAAAGGTTAAACCATTTATAATTATCTAAATGTTTAAGAATGTTATTTTGCCTTCCCAAAACAGTTTAAAAAATGCACTTTGTTACTGAAGGAATTACTATAATGCCCCAACTTGTCCCATATATTTTAACATCATCTGTAGAGTGCCATAAGTACAAAGTCTGGGCCCTGAACTGTTAAAGCCTACCTATTATATCACACTGACTAGACAACAAGCAGTTCAATCTCGAACCAAGGTTTTGGAACCGCTACTTCAATAATATTTACACAGCTAAAATACAAATATAAAGTAATACTTTACAATGCTTGAATATAATTTCGTTAAATACAAGTCACTGTTATATCACCAGAATTTGGGTTGCAGGTTGCAGGTTCATATCTTTCTAACAGTAAAATTTGGACTCAGTGATAGGTGTAGGAATGAAGTTAGATGAGGTTTGCTGTTTCCATTATTCTAAAAATCTTCTGGTGAAACTGGTGGAGTTTCAATTATTCTAAATATTAGACGTAGCTATTCTTACAATGGTTGATCGTAGCTGGGAAATATTTTACTTTCAATTTATTGCATGCTTCTACCAGCAAAAGATCACAATTGTGAAAGATGGTGCACGTTAAATCAGTCGCTGATTGGCAGTATATAAAACATGAGAGAGTCATAAAAATCTGTTTAAACAGTTTGCTTTTAGTCCAGCCAAGTGTCAGGTTAGCAACTGACATACGCTATATAGTCAATATTGTATAAAACTGCTATTTCAAATGTAAAGAGAAATGTAACCCTAATTTTAAATGTAGCAGAAGATAATTTTATATTTAAAATGTAAATTAATGACTGACAGAAAGAACTGGTGCATGAAAAATATGTATTTCATTAAGATATACAACTTTAATTTTGTGTTATTTGTTTTATAAGAAAGCATGATTTTGTGTTTCATTTCATCATTCACTCGTTCCTGGTTTATTTAAGACACTTTTAACAGATTATATAAAGGTATCAAATAACAGGATAATCAGTTAATAATGAATTGGAATGGATGTGAAAGGAAAAGGTCATGGCCTAATTTAAGATACTATTTGAGAGACAGGAAAAGCATGAAAGCCCTCAATTAGGGTACTGTCTCTGACACAATATTTGAACCTGGTACCACCTAAATATGAAGAAGTACTAGCCACCTGACCAAATGTTTAATACAATTCTATGCATTGTAATGTCTTTCTCATCATTATCTTTGTAATTGGTCTATTCAGTGTGAATGGTATGTCTGCTGAGCTAAAATGGCATACATGGGTAGGTCTTTGTGTCAATTACTTGACAGTTGTGCCCAGGAATTCTCCGTAGTTCAAGGCAGAGCAGTGTAGAAGATAGACAAATGAAGCACAAATGAGTTGCAATATTTGGGTTAACCAAAAACATCAGCACACAGAATTATGTAATTTCACTCTTGCAGCTTCCTCAGATCCACTGACTGATCTCATTTCTGTGTACTGGATAGATGCACCATTATCTTCCTAATTTATTACTTATTAATAATGTATTATTTACTGCAATTACTTGTTATTCATTAATAAACTCTATAAATTGTTTAACTATCATTTGTTTCACAAGCTATAGCATACCACTGAACAATTATATACACATAACAAGACCATTCATAAAACTTTACCCTTCAATAATTAACATTCTGCTAGTACCATCTTCTCAACCTATCGTCCTATGATCCATTCTCCCATCACCATCCACATCTTCTAAGTGTCTGTTTGCACAAGTCAGAAATTTATGTCCTCCATTCAGTTCCATTCCATCCTCATTTCCTTAGCTTTGCTATGTCCACGTTGCCTGCTGAATGGATTTTAATTAATTTGAAGTTGGAGTAATTACCTAAAAGTCATCCACAAATTCCTGTTTTGATTAAAATAAGACAATGGTAAGATGCACTTTACATGAAGACCTTATGCACTTCTATATACACCGGCTGGAGAATCCCCAGGGTGCCATGGTCACTTCAGTCATCATGACTACCTGGGGAATCTCCAGCCAGCTGTGCAACCACGTGGGGAAATTATCAATGATGATGCAATCACCCAGCCAGATGCATCAGACACCCCGGTCACCAAAGGGTTGGTGTCCGACCACGACTGTGATGTCACTGATGCCATTCACAGATATTCTTTCGCCGTCGTCACTGTCTTGTGGGTAGAAGGAAAACAAACGCTTATGTTATATGACGCGTCTCCCATCCATCTGACCACCTTGCCACTTACTACTAACGGACGTGGAACGTACGATTTCTTCCCGACTGCTGTACTATATTTCAGATTAATTTATGAACTATATAGACTAATTCATTCCCTGGATTTTATCTTAATCGCCAGGTATTAAACAATGTGCCCCGAATGACACGAAGGAACTCAAGAAATAAAACTTATTTTTAACTTGTGGACTAACTGCACTGTCTCGTTGTTCAGAACATAAAGGCTTCTATGCCACATTAGTGCTAAATTTTGTAACAGAATGCTGAACAACTGTATTCTTGCAACGAAATAGAATTCCGACCACAACGAAGAAAATGCACATTAGTGTCACGACGACGCGGATGCAGTAACATGATATATCACAGGTTGCGCCTCTTGGTACACGTTATTGAGTAACGAGACAGTCGACAATACACACGTGTTTAACACATTTATTTTTCCTTTTCTTTTAAAAAAAAGTTTAATGTTAGGGCGTGACGGGACATCCGTATGAACAAGTAGGCCGACACTTTCACTGTCAGCAATAAAGCGTCCGGCCGATATACGTCTCCTTCTGAATCCCTCGTAACGACGAGAAGGAAAGTTAAGTGGAGCAGTAGGTCAAGTGCGGGGAAAGTGTACAATATGGCAGTTACTTTCTAACTGGCGTCACGAAACAGCTCGTGTGATCCCGTTAATTGGAGAGACGCCATTCAGCGCGGTGCATTAGTTGCAATTATCCCTCTTACATGTTTGAAACTGAAGCTATTAAGGCTTTCCTTACTATGCACGAAAGCAATTACATTTATTGGTGTTCCAGATCACTGAATAAAGCATGTCGCTGAAGTAAATTATTCAAGTGGCTATTCAACAGTTGAAGTCATACGTCACCATGGAAGGAAACATACCAACAGAAGAAGCCTTTTATAATCAAAAGTCAGCATGGGAAAGGTTAACTATGCGTTAGTCTGAGTAAATTTATCAGATATAGCTGTCATGAGCGACCCCTAGCTGAACTGCTGCCTCCCTATAACACGGAAGAAACAAAAAAGACTGTCGTCTCCGTGTCTGAGAATCACGTAATGAGGACACATTCTTAGACCTCAGCACTAAATGAGGTACGTGGTAAACTTCACCATCCGGCTGGCTGCAGCCTCCAGCACCCTTTGGAAAGGGAGACCTACAAAATTCCTTCCGTCATCGTTACGGACTGACAGACTAACACGATCAAAGGATATTCCTTTAACAGCTGATCATATGGTCAATAAATCAACGGGTTGGTTAAAACATGGCGTCTTTAAATGTTAAAAATTAGCGCTATGGCCTTGGTGATGGAGGCAGCAAGGACATCTGAAACGCTGGTCGTCCTCTACCATACTAACGGCGATACAACCCATAAGACAGCCATCTTCGTTGTTGTTGTTGTTAACGGTTTATGATATTCTGGGTTTTAGCACCGTGTAGACTCGTAGGCAGGTAAGTGCCAACATTTCGGTATCAACCTACGAATTCAAACGGCATCAAACCCCAGAAAAAAACATAATAATCTAAAATGGCTGTCTCATGGATTGTTGCGCAGTGTAGTCGAGTAGAAGTTTTCCGACAAGTATCTAGAAAAAGGTCTACATATAACATTCACTCATATCAAGCTAGTTTGAAACTAGTCAATTATTTAATACAGGAAATAATTCTTCGTAATATTTGAGGTTTTCACAGCGGCGAGTCTGAAGATTGCCGTCTTCTGGGTTGTTGCCCCGTGTAATCTGGTAGATGTCCACCAACGCTTCTGGGGTCATGCTGCCTCCGTCATCGCCCTGATGACGGAGGCAGCATGACCTCTGAAACGTTGGTGGACATCTACCAGACTACACAACTACGCTTTCACTCAGATATAAATAAAATCAACTCAGCAGCATATTTATAAATCGAACTCAGGACCGCGTTGTTTGTAGGCCAGCGGGCGTTGAAGCATGACACACCTCCCAAAACTGATCTATGCCGCCTAGAGGAATGTGGCTTTCCAACGCTCAGCATCTCGGTTGAGCCCCATTCACCAGTGCACACTGGACCGGAGAAAGAGCACCATGTGGGCAACAGCCTCTCACTGACCAGACAGGTAAGCCTGTTCTGCATTTTGCTATACGGGGATTGCGATACTTTACACAAAACGCAATGGAGTGCATATTTCTATGATTAATAACTAAAAATTCAAGACGTAGTGTGGACGTTTCTAACGATGGTGTGTTTTGACCTACAGACTTATTCTCTTGAACGTTGTCCATCGCCATTATTAAAAAAGGGTAGTAACAAAATTACAATATTTTGGAAAATGGATTCTGCGCCCGCCTTCAGGTAAAAAGTGAAGACAGAAACCCTTACCTGGTCTGAGGCCAGCAAAGCCAGGGATCCTAATAGATAGGATTTCTGTCCTCTTCCATTTTTACCTGAAGACGGAAGCAGAATCTAATTTGTGAAGCGTTGTAATTTTTATTATTTTATAATTTATACGAAGAATAAAGTCCAAGAGAATAGACTATGTACTGCAGAATTCATAACGTGTAATGTAACATCTCGCACTTACCAGTTACTTCCATTATGATAGATAAATTACAGGAAAAATTAAGATAATGCAATAGGAAGTTGTAGTGACCTGATAAAATATTTGTCATGTTTCACTGTAAAGAGACAACGAAGCAACGGAAATATCCACTATTCCATCCGAAATTGGAGTATAATTCAAAACTGATAAGTACTTAATCGCGAAGTTCGGACTCTGGCTTACAAGTATTTCTTCTAGATCAAAGCAGGAAAATGCTATGCAGGCAAACACGAGTGTTTTTTTTTTAATTCTGCTTTGTATAGTTTGGTTCTAGATCAGAGCAGAAAAATTCCGTCGTACCATAAAAATAAACATTTTTGGAAATCTCTCACCACGTGCCACAGAAGTTATTGCAAAAGCCTGCAATATCGGCATGAAGTAAAACAAAAAGCACGGCGGTGAATGCAGAGCGAGTCGAATCGAGAGAATCCTAACTGTTTTGAAATCTAAATCTGTCAGCGAAGCACACAATTGATCACCGATTCATGGAGTAAAAACAGTTCCTTAACCGACCTGACACGTGTCTTCTGGAAGGAAAACACTGTATAATTCTTCATTTCACATAATTTCTCCAAGTTTTTATACGGTCGAATTCCATATTCTACAGAATGTCCCAAAATATGTATACACACATTAAATATATGAAATAAAGACATTTTAATAAATTATCATTACATACTTCAATATTGGCTCTTAGTGAATTTGCTAATCTAGTGTACTTGTTCAAAATGACCACCGTTAGCTTCGTGGCACAGTCGACAGCGCTCAGCAACTGACTGACAAGTGACCACCAAAGATGCTGTTGTGTACATCTCTTTGGAACAACCTGAATATTTCGGGAAGTGAAGGCTCAAACCCTCTTTGCCTGTTTGGCATCACTGTCTTTAAAAAGAATGCCAGGTGAGCACCCTAGACAGCCGTGCTTCCATCCCCATTTGCGTCCCCCTCTCGAGATGATAAACTAAGTGACAACTTTATTTCACATGTTCTTCTTATTCGTTCTAATTTCCTCCACTATCGGCGATACTTGGTACTTCAGACGGTGCCGTTAACACTCAAACAGTCGGTCAGAGAAGATGACAAGAACCGTACGCTCACCGTTATGACCTTTCAATAGCTATAGTCAGAAGGACTTGGCTTGTAGGAGGCGAGGTGTTAGAAGACCTGCATCGTATTAAGGAGACGTCGCGTTCAAATCTCGGCCCAAAGACTTGATGTTCTGACTGAGGGGTTTTTGTGGTTTTCACTGACCCCTTCAGGGTACTTTGAAAATACCAAGACTGCTTCCTTCCACATACCTACTTCCCAATCCAACGTTCGGAATCTGACGTTAGAAAATCTATTCAACAAGCAAAGCGCTGTTACATAACCCATAGAATATTTTGGAATAACACAGAAGAAGATTGTACTGACTGCGTAATGGATCTCATAATTGTTTATATTAGGTCGAAAAATTAAAGAGAAGTTGATGCGTTGGACATGTATTACGTATGGGAACTATGAGCATTTCTGTCAGAATACTTGAAGGTAGACAATTTGGGATTCTTAGGCATAAATGGATGATGCTAAAATTGATCTCGAAGAAATAGGGAGGTAAAATGTGGATAGGTTCCAACTGGCTCAGGATAAGGTTGGGAGGTGGGCGGTTATGGACATGACAATAAGCCTCTGGCTTATAGAGCCTTTTAGTGTACAAACAAATAAACGAATGAGTGCAGCAATGAGTGTCACTTAGAACGCTCTGTGACCCGGTTCTGTTGTCCTACATTCTGCAGCTGCAGGCAGCATTCGAAAATCTGGGAGGTAAACCGTTGTGACAGCCAGTATCTCATTTTCACCACTGTTTCGATTTTTACATTTTCATATTCATTAAAGGGTCCAGTTCCATATTTCTTTTTCAAGTCACCTCAAAAATGTCCGTTACGTACTAACCATTCTGTGTTATGCAACTTCCTTTGGCTTATGAGTTCACTACACTTACAACTCTTGGACCAACTAACACAGCTTCACAAAATTTGGTGCACGCGTTGTCGCTGATGACAACCCAAATCTCATACTTTCTTTATTAATTATTAACATGGAAGACGTACAATCCTGTGAGATTACAGTGACAGTTACTTAAAATACGTCCTAAAATTATGTATGACATATGACCAAAAATTGCAACCTTTGTTGTAACACAGCGACCATGCAAACATTTATACTTAGATTTTAGTTTGACAGCGATAAACCACTATTCTAATAGAAGTATACCGACGTTTCAGAGGTACCTGCTGCCTCCAGCATCAGAGCGATGGTTACTCATCGGCCCTAATGACGGAGTCAGTAAGTCCCGCTGAAACGTCGGTAAACTTCAACAACCAGACTGCAGGACGCTACAACCCAGAAGACCAGCCACATTCAACAACGATTCAATTCAAATATGTTTCTTGCTGTGCAATAATCCTTCCTGTCATTTGTAAATTTAACTCTGAATGTGTGTCTATTCCCCCAACAGCCATGTCGCTGCTCCACACGGCCAGTATCTGCTGCCTGGTGGCAACAGCGTCGTTCCTACATTCACCTCAGACTGACGACGCCCAGGACAATGCAAACGCCCTGCTAGGTGAGCTACAAGCCGGGTGTTTAAGGACTCTGCGTTAAACCCAGCTGGGATAATAGAGCCACAATCAGTGTTGTCTCGTAAGTACGCCCAGACGGGCGGGCTACACGAAAATACCAGAGACAAAAATCGATGTATCGATTGAAGATATGAACTTAACAACACACATACAAACACAAATATCCGAATGTATACACCTACTACTGGTATGCCCAATAAAAATTTCAGCGAGAATTTTGCATCAGTACGTTAGGGGTTAAAGATGGAGGAAATGCTTTCCTCCGAAACGTCGGTAACCACCTAAAATACCACATGGCTTCAGAATCCAGAATACTATTGATATATAATAACGGGATGTAAAATTACAATACTTAGTTTAAATAAATACTGGCCTAAGAGAATAACAAAATTATCTGCTTTCTTATTAATTTATATGGACCAGTCCCTAAAGAAAGGATTTTTCTATCCAATGTGAACGCACCATACACAGTGAAACTTCTCGTTTGTAACACAGTATAGTCTACACACCGCCACAACCCAAAAGACAAGTCATCTTCGTACTCACCAAGGAAAGACCATTAAATCCTACTCGGCAGTAACTAATGTAACTAATACAGACATAAACATTTAGAGTTTTAATCACGTCATCACTGTACAATTCATATTAGATAATTCTATAGTAATGATGCGAACATGTGAAGGTGTATAATGAATCCTTCTCAAGCTACAGAACTACAGTACCCTGAGGACGAGGACGAAGAAGTTTCTCGAAACGTTGGTGTCCTCTCCATTTAACCAACTTACACAGCTGGTAGCCCGAGAATAATTCATTATTCTTAGTCGCCGTGAAATCTACAGATCATGCATGCGAACGTGCGTAAGTCATTATGACACACTCTGTAAATCAAGTTCCTTTGATACCTAATACATCTTACTACTATGAGGACTTCAAATGCGTTATGTAGCTTTATTATTAACGTATTTGATATAACGTTTTATTAAACAGAGTGCTGATTAGAATATGTAGACCTAAGAGAAAGGAAGTATGCATAACCGGATGTTGGAGAGAACTAAATAATTAGTAGTTCAATAATTTCTACTCTTCACCAAACATAATTATGAATATGTAGTACGCATGTGATAAACAAGCATGCAATTTTAGTTGCAAAAACTGACGGGAAGAGACCATCTGGGAACTAGACGCAGATGGGAGGTTTCCTGTGATGGAGCAGGCAGTCCACTGCCAGCTTAGTGGTTCGTCGCTGTACACTGCCAGTAGAACTCTCAAAAGTGTGACATTTCGCAACAGTAAACACTGAAAGAGGTAGAGAACCGTTTTGGTCCAAACATCTCGCAAGTTATCCAGTTAAATCGACCATGTGCTCACGTCTACCAAAAACACTCCGTTTTCTAACCCTACTAACATTTTATTAACCTACTATCCTTATTTTCACAGAGGAAAAATAGGTTCATGTTGTTACGTCTGCGCGCCCATATCTTTCTAACAACTTACAAAGTAATCGACAGATTTTCACGAAACATGGTATGATTATACCACCATTAGACAACACAACATATTTACACTTTGATGACTATGACGAAAGAACTGTGGACAAAATGAGTTTTGTTAATACTACAAATGGTTACTTCCAGAATAATGTATTGTTATAGATATTTTTAAGTGTGAATGACTTGATTCGAAATGATTGATGTATACAGTGAACTGCCTAGTAAACAGATAATACCTGACATTTAACTTAATGTAAATACTCTTGTTTGGCACAGCCGAGGAAAGCCAAGGACTCGAGGATCTGGATGAGGACTTGTTCAGGGCCTACAAGTCAAACTACACGCGCTTCTTTGAAGACCTTTGTAAGTACAAAACAGAATTCATATAACAAAGTAATATTAGCGAGAAATGACAGATGGCAGAGAAAATGATCATACGCCGGGCTTAAAAATTAAGATGTGTGTGCTTGTGTGAAGACAAAGTTAAGGTTATCTAAAAAATCAAGCTTTTAATTTATTAACTGATAGATTAACATGATATAAATAAAGCCCTTCAACAAAAATTGAAAAATCTGCGTCAAAAACACAATTATAATACTGAAACAAATTAAGACATCGACAAAATGGAATGTTACACCCTTTTTGTCTGAATTGTTATTTTATTAAGTATTTAAAGAATACAATTAGCAGTAGAAGTTTTTGCACCTAAATCTTAAATGGACTCGGAAATTTAAAAGCAACGCACTATTCCACAAACGCGCTTTCAAATAAGAATGTAGAAGCAGGAGTATTTTGACAATGACGACAGTAGTCTAATATAATTTGCTCTGTTGTCGACTAAAATGGCGATATTACCACTGTTTGTTTGTCAGCTATAAATGCATCATTACACTCTGCCTTCTACAATAGAAAGGCAAGGAATGTATGCAGCTGCAGGGCTTGCATGACCTACACTCTACTTGGCCGGACGGAGAAGGTGATATGCAGCAACTTTCTTCAGCGTTCCGGTCTGCCTACATTGCACTCGTTCATACTTTATACTCCTGAAGGTCCGTTGAAATTCCTTCTTTCGTGCTATCTTCACGACTTCCAAAATTAAAAAAATATCAACTGTTGTATTTACTAGGTTATTTCAAAGTTTTCGTCAACCACTTTAGAAATACTTATAAAACAGAACATTCTGTCATCCAGTGTCATTACTGAGAACTTCTAGACTCTGTGAGTGCAACCAAATATGCGTAAAAAAAATCAGAAGCATCAAATTTCATGAGATTTTGGGGCTCTCACGGCGACGATAATGAATATGACTTGTTTCCGTGTTAGCCCGGCTAACACTTTTAAAAAGACAAATAAAGTGTTCTAGCTGACTTCATAGATAAGTTGTATTCCATACACTGGAACACAGCAGAACCGATCAGATAAACTGCATCATTAGCTGGCTCCAACCAGCCAGGCGCTCGCGGCGAGCGTCTCAACTAGCTGGATAACAACGGACGGACAGACAGACAAAGAGGAGTTTCCCACGACGTGTTCATTTCTTGCATTTTCTGCAAAGAACGCATAACGTTTGAACAACAGCCTTCCTTATGGTCGGGAAAATTAGTCCGAAAAATGCCGAAGAGGAGACGAGATGACTGCAGTCCGCGCTTTTCCTACCGAAAACCGTTCTAAAACTCTGTGATGTGCCACTTCGCACATGAAAGTTTGTGGCTGGGTGTTCGTCAATCTCGCAGGAACTGAAATGTGGGTCGGCCAAGGAGCAGCAGGAAGGTCAAAGCCATGACAATAATTTCTCTTTCAGACACCTGACCTATCGGACGAATCAGAGGTCTACAGTACCGACTATCTTTTCACTCTCGTTCACGGGTCAGTGGTTCGTACACTGACGGAAGAACTGATTAATGAAATTAAGACACATACAACCGATGCTCTCACTTCCAAGAGGATGTATGCAAGTAAAATCCTCACTTTAAGGTGGTTCTCAGGACTATTTCGCTTTCCACAATTATCTTTGTTCCGTGGGTTACTTAAAATTTCGTGAAGGACAAAAGGAGTGTATTAAAAGTTTTGGTGGGAAATTTATTGGGAGACGTTACAACTTGACACTTGGAGATATATAAAAACAATCAAGTCTGCAAGATCTATTTTAATTTTATCCCCCATCTATGCCTAGTAAAGTAAAAGCAGTCCCGCTACACGCCATGTAGGTCGCTTGGAGGAGAGGTGGAAAAACTCCTACTCATTCATGACCCCGGCACTAGATGCGGGTGAGTGGTCTGCATCATGCCCCGGCCGCGCTTTAACCCGGGGAAGGACCCCGGTACCCATTGGACAGGATGATGGGTGGGCCCCAGAGCCGGTCTGGACGCAGAGGCTAGAGGAAAAATCCTCTGCCTCGATCGGGGATTGAGCCCCAGTCGTCCAGCCCGTCTATGCCTCAGTATCTCAAATATCTCTTCCATTCAGATATCCCAATATAATTCGTGTGCATTGCTCATCTTTCATGGGTTCAAATCGTTGAATTTATAAATGTCACATAGTTCTCATCTCTAACGGCATACCCTTCATACCGAGACAATGGGTTGACTGTTTCCAACATTTTGGTGCAAAATAACACTCCATGAATTTCTGTCGTGGCTGCCCCCCCCCCTTTCGGATACCAACCTGAAGAGTCAACGCTGTGCAAGAAGGCATTGTTCTGATGTCAGAGAAAATTACTTCCGGAACGGTTTGTTTCCCATGTATTCGCAGTAATGAGCCTGAGAATTGTCCTGCTGCTCAAAAGGCGTTCCCTCTATGCAGTTCTTTCAGAAGGTGGACTACTTGCATAATGGACTCTACAGAAAATAAGATCAGAGAAGTCTTTATGATGAAGGCCCTCCCAGTACGCACAGCCACTCCAAAGCGGTGAAGAGAATTTCGGTCGCGAAACCACTTTATTTAGGTATTTGAATCCGAAACACAAGAAGAAATGTTAACCTCTACATTGAAAAGTTCGATCACAAAGATGTGGCCTAAATCGTTTATCGGTTGATCCACTGATCAGACCCAGAACTTTCTTCTGAAGTTGAGGAGCAAAAGTGGAAGGCTGTTTGCTATTGTGCACACCTCACCGACTTTAAGGTTTATTTATCGGAGATACAAATCCATTGTTACAAAGGTAATGACACTACAGTGATTATAAATATTCACTGGTAACCAATATTTTATTTTAACCATTTCATTTGATGAATGAATGATAGTATCATTGAAGACGGTTAGCTGGCCGTTGCTACGGAAACTCTGTGTTGACACTGTTCTTCTCACACACTCATAGCATCTTTTGGAGCACTCATCCCTGGCCAGAGGGTGGACCCGCACACACAAGACGCAGATAATGAGAGGTCATGACCAAATAGTCATATACAAGACGTGAACACACCCACGCCAACACAAAAACATGATACATGCAGTTACGCTCTATGATCTTATCCTATTCTTTACTCCTCCTGATATCCGGTGACGCATTTAAGACTTGCGTTTCAAGATCCAATTAGTAACAAATACAGAGCGCAGTAATTGAACGAATAGTCTGACAGGGTTTTGCTAGTATTACGTTGTTCGAAACTCTGTCATTATTTTTACCTCCGCGCTAGTGCAAATCAGTACATGTTCTATGACTATAAAGTTTTATTCCATAAAAACAACGAATTCTTAAGTCATCATTTACTAGTTCGATTAACTGCACTATCAATTTCATTTTCAAATACCTCTCATGGATAGCATGAAAACTAGAAAAGAAATTAACGCCATTTGTAACAACACCAATAATCAATCATATACAAACACGTGTGGAGGATAAAAAAACCTAAACAAACTAGATAAACCGTTTACAACGCAACTATTACTTCAGCAACTAAGACCGGGGCGAGCGTAAAAAGTACCACAGCAGCACAGATCTATACCTATCATGTTACAAACTTTCTCCAAATCGGAATATTTTTCCTGATCCAACATTTGAAATGTGAAACAATAAACATAACAATATCACACCGCAACAATTCATCTCCCTTAACCAAACATGCGACAACGACGCCATCAAAATATCTCAGATTAACAAAGACGAAGAAGTTAACAAAGAAAGCGAGATGGAAAGCAAGTGTCAGCAGCCAGCCATGTGTTCCACTTTGAGGCTTAGGCGAAGCCTCCCGCCAGTAGCTGGTGAGACCACGACAGTGCAGGTTGTGTGGCAGTGGAGTGAGTGCTTGTGTTCCGTTACTTGAAGACGATGGAAAGGACCGTCAGAAGTTAGGGGCGCCATGGCAACGACAGCGATGCGTCTGCTGTTATCTCTATTGCTGCTGTGGTTCCCATGCCACGCCGTGCGCTTCCCTTACAACAATGATGTGCAAATAAACAATAGCGACAACTTCACGGACAAAATTTCCCTCCACACACATCTAAACCACGGACACACGAATATTCAACAAGGTTTCCTTATAAATCATAGGCGGGCATCAAATTCTCAAAATTTGTCTCCAAACTATGGCCAAACCACACAAGCAAGCCCATTTCCAATCTATAAGAAACCTGTTCAAGAAGATCAACTTCTGAACTACAGGAAGACAAGCGTTATAGACCATTCGCGTAGGCAAAGTGTGTCGAAAGAAGATTCAACTGTCCGTTTGACGTTCACGCCTAATATCCCTGGCAACCTGCCACAGATTCATAGCCAAGTGAGAACACAGAACATTAACATGCAAAATACACATAAAAACAATTACAGGGCACAGAACGATTCACTTTACAAATACAAACGGACAGAAAAACTTGCAAGTGACAACAAAGACGACCCAACTCTGAACCATCTCCAAAAAGACGACTCAAATCTTAAGTACAGACGAATATTTAAGGATAACTTGCCCTCTAATACCCGACAAACTGCTGTCAGTGTTGAGGAGAGGTCTGAACAAGGCGAGGTGCGGCGATTCAGCGGGACAGAGCTCATGGCGATGACCAGCGAAGAACAAGAGCTCATGTTACTGGAGGCTCTACACCAGAAGACCAACTCTAGTAAGAGAG